AGAGGCAGGTGAATTTCTACGAGTTTGAGTCCAATCTGGTCTAAAAGAGCTACAGAGCAGTAACTGGAGTATGGAGAGACGGCTCCATGGCTCAGCATAATGGCTGCCCTTCTGGTGCTCCTATGTTCAATTCTGAAAACAGAAATGTAGTCTCACAACCACAATATCAGGGGATCTGATGCACTTTTCTAACCTCTGTATGCACATAATCATGTAGATAAAACAGTCATATGCATAAAATAAAAATAATCACATATTTTAAAACATATTTCTATAAAAAAGTAATGAGAAATCAGATGCTCTAAGCCTGATAGAAGAGATAATGTGAAATGATCTTAAACTCGTTGGTACAGGCAATGAATTTCCGAACAGAAAACCAATAAGACAGGACAGGCATTAAGATAAACAACTGATAAATGAGATATCATGGAACTCAAAAGCTTCTAAAAAGTAAACGAAACAATCAATTGGACAAAGAAACAGCTTACAAAACTGGAAATGATTCTTAGCAACTCCACATATGATAGAGTGCTAATATACAAATATAAAAAGAACTTGGACACTAGATATTAAAAAAACAAATAATCCAATGAAAAATGGGATAGAGATCTAAACACAGAATTCTCAATAGAAGAATATCAAATGGTTGAGAAACACTTCAAGAAATGCTCAACTTCCTTAGCCTTTAAGGAGATGAAAATCAAAACTAGTTTTGGATTACATCTTACATGTGTCACAACAGCTAAATCAATAAAATAAGATAGAGCTCATCCTGGTGAAGATGTGGAGCGAGAGGAACACTTTTCTATTCCTGGTGGGAGGGAAAACTTGTACAAACAATATGGAAATCAATATAATATAATAGCTTCTCAAAAAGTATGGAATTTATCTATTTCAAGACATATTTATCTATTTATTTATCTATTTCAAGACATATTTCGTTCATCCACAAGGACACTTGCTCAACATTGTTAATTGCACCTTTATATATATATATATATATATAGATATATAGATATAGATATATATAAAAGTCAGAAATTAGAAAAAAAGATCATAAAGAAAATGTGTTTCATTTCCACAATAAAGTATTAGTCAGATTTTTAAAAAATGGACACCATGAAATTTGCAGGCAAATCAACTGAACTAGAAAAGAATATACTGACTGAGGTGACACAGACTCAGAAAGACAATTTTGTTATGTAGTTACTTAAAAGGTGAAGTTAAGCACTGAGTTAAAAAAAACAAACAAACTACAGTCTATAGACCCAGGGAGGCTAGGTAAAGAGAAGACAGTTAGAGGGGATACAGGATCTCCCTACGTGAGGGAAATAGAATAGATTTTACAAGCAGAATAGAGGCAAGTGAAAATTGGGGGGTATGACATAAGGGATGGTGGAGTTAAAAAACAGAGTGTAGAATGACACCCAACATTGGGAGAAGGCATTTGAGGGTGCTGTGTTGAAGCCACATGCAGTGGAAACCTAGCATAAATATTTTAGTACTTTTATGAGACCCTGACTGGGAGAAGTGGCTCTCTGACTCTTTTGCCTGCTCTTGGGACTCTTTTTCTTCTGTTAGGTTGTCATGTTCAACTTTGATGTGATCATTTTTGCTTTGTCTTATAATATATTATGTTGTTACATTTTGTTATTTCTTAGAAGCCCATTACTTTCTTTTTGTTTTATTTATTGCTTGTTTGTTTTTGTTCTTTTCTTTTCATTTTATATCAAAACCAAAGTTTCTCCTCTCTCTTCTGTTCCAAATTTCTCACCCAATCCCCACCCCTATCCAGTTCATTTCCACTGTTTCTCTGAAGCTGCAGTTCAGTATCCCTCGGATCTCAGCAAGCCATGGTATATCAAGATGCAGCAAGACTAGGCATCTCTTGTTCTATTAAGCTTGGATGAGTCAACCAGTAGGAGTAAAGTGTCCAAAAATAGGCAACATATTCAGAGACAGTCCACGCTTCTAGTCTTAGGAGTTCAACAAGAAGACCAGTTGCACAAATGTAATATATAGGCAGAGTGTCTATGTCAGTCCCATGCAGTCTCTTGAGTCCCATTGAGCCCAGGTAAGTTGATTCTGTAAGATTCCTAGTGGTATCTTTGACACCACTGGGTTCTACAATCGTTCCTCCCCTTCTTCCACAGTATTCCCTGAGTTATGCCTAATGTTTGGCATTGAGTCTCTGTATCTGTTTCTATAATGTGCTGCTGGGTTGCACATTGACAACCTCATTGACAACAGTTTGACTGAACACCCATCTATGAATACAGCAGAATACCATTAAGAGTCACTTCATTGCCCTTTTTTGTCATTCTTATTTTGACATTGCCTGTTAATATGGAGACAATCACAGAGACAACACACCCCACACACATACACACACACTGCAGATATCCAACACCCCCCTACACAAGTACACAACACAAGACCCCAAAATACACATACGCACACACAGTCACAACACACAACCCAAAATATCACTTCACACACATGCACACACCACACAACCTTCACACCACACAGTCAAAATACTCACACACTCACATACACACACCTATAACAGAAAGAGAGAGAACCAAAGAATGGATAATAATAATCTATATCTGCCTGCACCACACCGCCTCTCTCTGATTTTTCAAATCAGGATTTCACTGTGTAGCCCTGGGTGTCCTGTTACTTATTCTATAAACCAGTCTGGCCTTGAACTCAGAGATCCACTTGCTTCTGATTACCCAGTGCTGAGATTAAAGGAGGGGCCACCGGTTTACATTCAGTAACAGTTTTATTATTTTAAACTGTGGAATAATGAAACAATCTTGACTGAAAATAAGCTAAATATTGCAAAAGACATTATATATTAAATGTGAAACAAGCTTCATTAAGCAGTCTTTTATAAACTAAAAGTTAAATCACTATCACTGATAAACAAATTTGAGAGAGTACAGTCAGCTGTAACTTGTTCCTGGAAGCATAGTATAAGGTGTGTTTGTGTGTGTGTGTGTGTGTGTGTGTGTGTGTGTGTGTGTGTGTGTGTGTGTATGTATTAAATCGTCAAAGTTTAAAGTGTTCTACACATTGTCTACCTCTGGGCTTCCCTTCCCATGATTTTGTTGTTTCAAAGTAAAGACATTGTCTGTAATAAAATGATGAGCTTATAACTTATGTTGTTATTCTACTTTTATAAACTAAAAGTAAATATTCACTTTTGCTTATTATTATTTCTTCAAGCCAGGTAGATCAATATACATTTATTCATAATGCTGTCAAAATTTTTAAAATCTACTCTTAGTCCTGATAGTCTAATAACTTTTTAACTGTGAATTATAAGTTATTTCTAATGAATTTCTGGACGTTTCTGACTCCTGTTTACAGATATTTAGAAAGAGTAGTATGATTGTTTTCTCTAGATTTATTCATATAATTGGGGTTATTTAAGACAATAACTTCTATTTTATGAGACTATTTACATTGTATTAGCGACTGAGTCTTAACTTTGTCAATAGAATGAGGACTGTTTCATCAATTACACTTAAAGACATATAGAATGTTCACTATGTGTAAGTATTCAGTACTGTGCATGAATTATCTCATTTAACTCTCAAATCTTTACAAGACTGGTCATATGAGTTCACCTTTGAGATTATGAAACTACTCTGAAAAGAAACTAGCAGTCCTCTTGTGAACACCTAATAAACAACATAGGCAAAGTGTAGTATACAGGTACATGCCTCCCCAAATCTATCTGAAGCAGCAGGTCATGCTGACTTCCACATCTAATGCTGCTTTTATAAACATATGTTGTAAATGAATTTTCTAATTCCATTAAATCACAAGGAAACACATGACACAGCCACAAGTGCAAATTTAAGAGCTTGTCATTCTTGTAGAAACATACACTGTAAATGAAAATGTTACTTTTGTATAAACTCTTTCATTATCGAATGACCATATTGGATAGCCTCCAATATTAAAAAAGATGCTATAGACTCTCCTATGCAAATATAAGCAAATTTAGTTCAGTTAAATAAGTTAATATTAGGAAAGTAGAATTAAATATGACAATAAATCTCAAGAAATTATAAGGCTTGTATTGCCAGAACTTCATTATTGTAAATACCAAAATAATTTATACACTCACTGAAGATATTTCTTGATAAATCTGTCCACTATACCATTTTTCAATTAAGTATACTATCAAAACAACAGTGATAATATTCCTTCTAGCCTATTATAGTGCCCATGTAAATATTTCTCACAAAAAGAAACAGGATGAAGTAAATTTCAAAGTAAACTAATAAAAATCACCATAGTAGTTAATTTTTCCTGTGTTTTATTTTAAAAATAAATTTCATATTCTTTTATTATATTTTGTTCTTTGAATGGCACTGCAAGATGAAAATATATGTAATGAGTGTTAAAATTATTTTGGTAAATTATTCACATATCTTTGTAAATATACTCAAAAGAAATAAAAATAAAGTAAGAAAACTTGTGGTGTTTGATTGTTTTGGAAACTGCTCCTATAAAGAAAAGAACAAATCCTGAAATCAACCCAAATACCTCTCAAACAAAGAATGGATAAGAAAAAATGTGGTACATTTACACAATGGAGTACTACAAAGCAGAAAAAAAATGACATCTTGAATTTTGTAGGAAAATGGATGGAGTTAGAAAACATTATTTCGAGTGAGGTAACCCAGACACAGAAAGAAATTATCACATACACTCACTCATAGGTGTAAACGTAAAAGCAAAGAAAACCAGCCTACAAACCATAATCCCAGAGAATTTAGACAACACTGATGACACTAAGAGGAACTTACATAGATCTAATCTATATGGGAAGAAGAAAAAGACAAGATACTGAGTAAGTTGAGGGCATGGGGACTTAGGGTAGGGTTAAAGAGGAGGAGAGAAGCAGGAAGGGAAGCAGAAAAAATGTAGAGCTCAATAAAAATCAATAATAAAAAAGGAACACAAATAGTACTTACCGAATAGTGTCAAGACACAGGCCAGTATTGCTATCAGGGCCCCAGTGCTGAGGCCAGCGGGTAGAACATAAGCTTCTGCATTGCAGGTTTGTGCTGTACCATCGGCATCACAGTCACAGACACGAATGGTAAGGGTATTGGTACTACTTAGTGAAGGAGATCCACTGTCCACAATGAAAATTGGCAGATAGTAAACTGATTGTTCCTGCCTGCGAAAACCATTTCTCCTGGTAAGTATTGAGGCTGTGTTGTCTAGGATTAAGAACAAAAATGTATAATAAGCCTTAAAATGAACTTTATCTTCCCAAACTTAAAGTTAATCTTTTTATTTTGCTCCTTAATAGTAAAACAGATATAGCATATGTATTTTTCAACAACCCTCAACAAATCTCTTTTGGACAGAGAGGTAAATTTCCTATGGAATTCATCTTAAGTTATTCCTGATACTCTACAAATAGCAAAGACACAGTCATAATGCAAAATTAAATGTTTTATTAAATGGAACTTTTATATATTTTTATATTTTTCAGATATAAAATTTCAGACTATGTACTTATAGAAAGAATGATAAAAGTTTTCAGTTTGTAGCCTCTCCTTTTTTTAGCATTATTTCAAGTTCATCCCTTGTTTGACAGATTTCCATATTAATGAAAATGTAAAATAAGATTCATAGTTTTATTTAAATTGTTTATGCAGTCAAGGATCACTCAACTAGATCATACTCTGAGAAATGAGTCAGGCCATTTTCTATGCCCATGTCATGACTTACTGGCAGAAACTAAAATATTTTGATTTCACTAGCTGATACGGGGCTACGAACATAAACATAGTCCATCAGTAATTGAAAAAAGATCAATAAGTAGCACATTGTCAAACACAGATGTTCCCAAAGATAATTATTGAATAATTTTTACAAATCATATTATTGTTTACAATTTCTCAAGCAACATGCCCTAAAATACTTTATTAATAACACAAAGCTTAATTTATATGCAATATTCTATCTGATCTAAGAAACTTACAGGAACTTTTGAACAGGAACATTTGAAAGGTGTTATATATGTTTATATAACTATAATTTATATTGCTGAAATAAATTTAGTTAGGAAGTATTTCTCTGTATAGTTTCCTTACTAGTTAGAATTTGTTGAATTTTTAGAATTGAAACTAATCAGAAAAATAAACGAAACTAAGGAAGATTTATACTAGTATCTAATATGTAAATCACAAATAGTGTAAAACTTGTTTATAAACATGAAAAAAATTAATAATACTTTAAAAAACAAGCTGACATCAACTGCATGTTAAGAAGCATAAAGTAACAATTTCATATTCAACTGTAGCAAAAAAACTAACCATAATCTTAGGTTAGATTAAAAAAAGGATCAGTTTGTATTTTATCTATTTTCACATATGCAGATTTTGAGATGGTTACCAAAATCTTAACATTTTACATTTAATCATACAATGAATTTATAAATTTCATTAGCTGGTTAGTTAATTAAACATGAACATATTTAGAAATATTGGGTTTTTTTGTTTGTTTGTTTTTGTCTGTATAGTAAATAATACACATGTTGAGCTGCATCTGTACCAAGGAGATTCATCTGGAGGGGTAAGTGCCCGCGGGGCTAGCCAGATGCCAGGAAACAGAGTACAGGTGGCCTCCAATTCCCTAAAGATTTCTGGCCCTTCAGCAGGGCATCTCCCTGGCCACTGGCTTTCTCTACCCCATAAATCAACAACATAGAAACACAGAAAACAACCCCAAAAATCAATGAAACAAAGAGCTGGTTCTTTGAGAAAATCAACAAGGCTGACAAACTCCTATCCAAACTAATCAAAAAGCAGAGAGAGAACACGCAAATTAACAAGATCAGAAATGAATAGGAGGGCATAACAGACACTAAAGAAATTGAAAGAATCATTCGGTCTTACTACAAAAGCCTGCATTTCACAAAATTGGAAATTGTAAAAGAAATGGACATTTTTTTTTAAGATAAGTACCATACAAAAAAATTAAATCTAGACAAGGTGAACAATGTGAATAGACCTATAAGTTGCTAAGAAACAGACGTTGTCATGAAAAAACTCCCAACCAAAAAAGCCCAGGACCTGGTGGTTTTAATGCAGAATTCTAGAAGAACTTCTAGGTAGAGCTAATACCTGTACTCCTTAATATATTTCACATAGTAGAAACAGAAGAGTCATTGCCAAACTCTTTTTATGAAGCTACAGTTACCCTTATATCAAAACCACAAAAAGACTCAACCAAGAAAGAAAATTACAAACCAATATCACTCATGACATTGATGCAAAAATTCTCAATAAAATACTGGAAAACCAAATTCAATAACACATCAAATATTATCCATTATGATCAAGTAGGCTTCCTCCAAGAGATGTAGGGCTGGTTCACCATATGAAAATCAATCAATGTAATCCATCATATAATTGAAGTGAAAGAAAAAAACCATAAAATCATTTCATTAGATGCTGACAAAGCATTTGACAAAATTCAACACCCCTCTATGATAAAGGTCTTGGACAGATTAAGGATAGAAGGATCATATCAAAATATAATTAAGAAATATACAGCAAGCCAGCAGCTAACATCAGAATAAATGGAGAGAAACGCAAAGCCATTCCATTAAAATCAGGAACAAGACAGGGATGTCCACAATCTCCATATCTCTTAAATATAGTGCTTGAAGTTCTAGCAATAGCAATAAGACAACATAAGGAGGTCAAAGGGATTCAAATTAGAAAGGAAGAAGTAAAACTTTCATTATTTGCAGATGATATGATAGTGTACATAAATGAACCCAAAACTCTAACAAATAACTCCTACAGCTGATAAATTCCTTCGGTGATGTGGCAGGTTAAAGATCAACACAAAAAAATCAGTAGCCTTCATATACACAAACGATGAAGCAGAGGGAAAACAGAGAAACATCACCTTTCACGAAAGCCACAAACAGCATAAAGTATCTTGGGGTAACACTAACCAAAAAAGTGAAAGATCTATTTGACAAGAACTTTAAGGCTTTGAAGAAAGAAATTGAAGAGGATACCAGAAAATAGAAGGATCTCCCATGCTCTTTAATTGGTAGGATCAATATTATAGTAAAAATGGCAATTCTACCAAAGACAATCTATAGATTCAATGTAATCCCCATCAACCCCCCTAAAAAAAATTCTTCACAGACCTTGACAGAACAATAACAACTGTATATGAAAAAAAATCCCAGGATAGCCAAAACAATCTTATACAATAAAGGTACTTTTGGAGATATTACCATCCTTGACTTAAAACTCTATTTCAGAGCTACAGTAGTGAAAACAGGTTGGTATTGGCATAAAAACAGAGATGTTGACCAATGGAATCTATTCAAAGACCTGGACATTAATCCACAAACCTATGAACACCTGATTTCTGACAAACGAGCTAAATGTATTCCATGGAGTAATGAAAGCATCTTTAACAAATGGTGCTGGCATAACTGGATGTCACACTGTAGAAGAATGAAAATAGATCCATATTCATCACCATGCACAAAACTGAAGTCCAGATGGATTAAAGACCTCAAAATAAATCTGACCACACTGAACCTGACAGAAGAGAAAGTGGGAAGTAGTCTACAACACATGGGCACACGAGACCACGTCCTATGTATAACCCCAGCAGCACAGACAATAAGAGCAGCAATGCATAAATGGGACATCATGAAACTGAGAAGCTCTGTTAAGCAAAGGACACTGTCATTAAGACAAACAGGCTACCTTCGGACTGGGAGAAGATCTTCACAAACCCCTCATCAGACAAAGGTCTGATCTCCAAAATATACAAAGAAATCAAGAAACTAGACATTAAAATTCTATATAACAAAATTAAAAAATGGGGTACTGAACTGAACAGAGAATTCTCAACAAAAGTTCAAATGGCCAAAAGACACTTAAGGTCATATTCAACTTCCTTAGTGATCATGGAAATGCAAATCAAAACAGCTTTGAGATATCACCTTACACCTGTCAGAATGGCTAAAATCAAAAACACCAATAATAACCTATGTTGGAGAGGATGTGGAGTAAGGGTAACACTCATCCATTGCTGGTGGGAATGCAAACTTATGCAACCACTTTGGAAATCAGTGTGACAGTTTTTCAGGAAATTTGTAGTCAACCTACTTCAGGACTCAGCAATTCCACTCCTGGGAATATACCCAAGAGATTCCCAATCATACTACAAAAGCATTTATTCAATTATGTTCATAGAAACATTATTTGTAATAGCCAGAACCTGGAAACAAACTAGATGCCCCTCAATGGAAGAATGTATAAAGAATGTGTGGAAAAAAACAATGCAGTAAAAAACAATGACATCTTGAATTTTGCATGCAAATGGATGGAAATAGAAAACACTATCCTGAGTGAGATAACCCATATCCAAAAAGATGAATATGGTATGTACTCACTCATTAGTGGACTCTAGCCATAAACAAAGGACATTAAGCCCAGAGAAATCAAGTAACAAGGTGAACCCAAAGAAAAACATATATAGATCCTCTTGGAAATTGGAAGCAAACAAGATAGCTGGGAAAAGTTGGGAGCATGGGGGTGGGAGATTAGGGGTCAGGGTGGGGTTGGGGGAAGGGGAGAGGGTGAGAGAGAAGGGAGAAAAGACAGTCTGGAGAGATCTTGTGAGAGTGGGAAGGTGGAGATGGAGGAAGGGCAGGTATAGGAGCAGGGAAGAAGATACATACATTAAGGGATCCATTTTAGGGTTGGCAAGAGACTTGGCTATAGAGGGGATCCCAGGTGTCTAAGGGGATGTCCCCAGCTAGATCCTTGGGCAGAAGAGGAGAGGGTGCCTGAACTAACGTTATGACATAGTCACACTGATGAATATCTCAAATATCACTATAGAACCTTCTACCGGTAATGGATGGAGATACAGACAGAGACCCACATTGGAGCACTGGACTGAGCTCCAAAGGTCCCGTTGAAGAGCAGAAGGAGGGAGAAGATGACCAATGAAGTCTGGACCGGGAGTGATTGGTCCACCCACTGATACAGTGTGCCAATTGTAATGGGAGCTCACCAAATCCAACTGGTCCAGGATTGAACGAGCATGCAATCAAACCAAACTCTCTGCATGTGACTGACAATGGAGACTGACTGAGAAGCCACTGGGATTTGTTTCTTCTGCATGTACTGGCTTTTTGTGATCCTAGTCTGTTTGGATGCACACCTTCCTAGGCATGGATGGAGCGGAGAGGGCCTTGGATATTCCCTACCCTCACTAAGGACTGGAGGAGGAGGGAGGAGGGTTTGTGAGGGAGAAGGAGGGAAAAGGGAGGAGGGAAAGAAGTGGAAATTTTGAATGGTATTATTTACAAAGCAATAAAAATTTAAATAATCTACATGTTGATTATTTGATTCATGCCAATATTGATATTAAACATCATTATATAAATTTAGAGAAATGATTCATACAGTTGTTTATTAGTAGTCTAGCATGACAGATATAAAAATCATTGAAACACAGACACAGAAGCATATACACAGAAACAACACACACACGGAGACACATACACACAGAGAAACACATACTGAATTTAGAATGACAAACCAAGTACTGAGCATGTGAAAAATAATGTCATGATCAAGAAAGAATTGCAGAATTTAAATACTCTGCACTTTCTCTCTGAATGTGGAAGGCAACATGAAAGATTTCTACCTATTCTTTTCCTGTCCTTCAAGGTACAGCCTGGGGAGATCTATACTTGTGCCATGGGAATATACCCATCCGTGTGACAGTATGGCTGCCCCATCGATCCAGTTTTTTTCTTGTGCATTCTGTATAGAATTATTGATGCTATTGGACTGTGGAACATGAGGGACATATTTACCGTCTTCTTGTGAAGGTCATATATTCCCTTATCTACATCTGTGCAAGATGACTCCAAGAACTGAGAGTGAACATTTCCAACAATGATTAATCAGAGAGCTTGTGATTATCCACACAGAGAATGTTCTTGTTTTATTTTACTAAAGGGATAGCATAGTGTTCCTATTCGTTTGAGAATGGGATCAGGGAAAAACTGTTACTTTCAGACTGAATTTTCTTGACCAAAATCACAGTTTTTGCATTAAAGTTGTAGCTTCAGGCAAAAGACTTCCTAAATTTCAACTGAAAGCTTGTCTGTTCTGATAAGTCATATTGACTCTATTTTAAAACTAAAACCTAATTCAATGAAAACCAGTATAATCACTAAGAGTAATTTCTTATGCTTATTTTAGAAGGTCTTAAAGTTATTAATATATTTTAAAGAAAACTGGAATCTGCTTACTGGTACTTGTAAAGTTTCCCTTCAGTAACACTTACGACTACTATCTTTAAAGCAAATTAAAGAAATTTTAATTTTACATAAGAGGGAGTATTATTCTATTATTATTTACTGTTTTATCTTAGTTTGAATTATTTTTATTATTAGGTTTTTCACATATAATGTTTATTTTCAAGTTAAAATATAATTAATGTTGTTAATGAGAATATTATGTGAATGTTGATTTACATTTAAATTATTGTTATTATTATTATTCCTGAGGTCTCAAGTTGTGTTGTGTCAACATATTTCAGTCCTTACTAAGAATCTTAGCAGGCCTTCAATGTATGACATCATGTAAATAAAGAGCTTGGTATATACATGGGAGAGAACTATACAGGAAACAGACGAGAAATACAACGAATTTCTTGCATTTGGCTTTATGTCTATATTGATTTAAATAGAAGCTTCTCCTCCATAACAGCAAACACCTGGACAGAAATTATTCAAGGAACTCATTGCCTTTTAATCCATAACTTTGTTGCTTTTTCCCATTATAAGCATCTTTAAGGAGGAAATGAGACTTGTTTAGAAGCAAATGCTTCAATGACACACCTTGCCTTACCTTTGTTATCTTTCAAAGAAAAGTTGTGGTTATTTGTTGTATCTGTTGTTAAGCTGAAGTAAAACTGGTGTCCGTCAGATGGTTCATCTTTGTCTACAGCACTTATTTTCTGGATAACCTAGGTACAGAGAATGTAATAGAGAAAGGCGTACTGTTGCACTCTGATGAGATTTCTACAGCAGGACATAAGAATTTTACAACTCATTGCAATGTTATTCCATTCAGTGAGTTTAGGAAGCAGCTCAGGTGTACAAAATTACACACAATTTAAAATAGGCTCTGGAAAACAAATCATGTCCTTTTCATAGGGCATGTTTGAACTTACTTTTGTGAACCTCAGAAACACTCTGCTACAACTGTTAATACATCCCAGTAAACATCACAAGACTCTGAACAATATGGTGGACAGAGAAAAGCCATTTTGAACTGCACTTCATTCTTAGAAGTCAAGGTTCACAGCTGTGCTATGTAACATGAAATGGAAACAGCTCAATCAAACTTAATAAATTTTATTTCTTCTTAAAGGAATCCAAGCCTTTAAACACACAACCAGGTTAATTTTTACAATATTTTCTTTCCTCATGATAACTGAGGAATTTTCAAAACCAAATTGAAAGAGAATTTGAAAGTTCTTTTAATATTAGTTCATGATAGACATCAAAGTACTGGGGTACTTCAAAGATAGGACTCCTGAATGCTTTTAAAGAAACTCCAAGCAAAAAGGAAGTTAATTTGAATCTCTCACCTGCCCAGGCTGAGCATTTTCACAGACAGTGGTTTCATAATCCATGGCAAACTCAGGGGCATTGTCATTAATGTCCAGTATAGTGATGGCTACATAGCCTCTCCCAACCTGAGTTGGATTCTCTGGTCAATAAAAAAAATATTTTCTAATCAATTCTGATGAAATACTCATCACACTCTTGTTATTTCATTCAAGAAACATGAAAACAAGCAAAAAACTGAAAATTTTCCTTTTCAAAAGTATAATCTCAAATGAAATGTCTATTTGTAATACTATATAATCTAAATAAAACCACATATAATCTGACCCTTATAGACTCATTAACTTATATCTGTATACATTTAAACATACATTTTATGTGGTTTTATATAATGCAAAATTATGATGTATCCATATTTATGTATTTCATATAAATATATGGATATATACATAAACATGTTTATATAAAACACATAAAATGTATGTTTTAAAATACATATATTTGTATGCATATATTAGTGTATGTGTGTCAAGTTCCGGATAAGAAAATTGTTGAATGAGGAATAGTTAACCATGAAATTCAACTCAATGATGCCATAGTTCATATTTATGTTAATATTAGCAACTTACATACACATGCATTTTCTCTGACTACACATTTTAGTAATGTAGATACTTTTTTTCTAAATTACTTCATTCATATAATAAAATTAGTTATTAGAACATTTATATCAATGTGTATTGGGTAGATATGAACTAACTTCACATCATGATAAAAGCAGTAATATCAAGGATATAAACATAAAACAAGCTTCTGAGAGCAATTCACACCTATGAGCTTTTATGTTTCTATGTTTTGAATTACATATGTAAAAATCATCATAAGAAATCAGTAAATCTATATTATTTTACAGCTTACTGATTTTGGAAATTCTGGAGTTTGTTTAACTGAATCAAGCAACAGCGTAAACTCACTTCATCTCCTAATGTCATTTTATTGAATTTATTAAGATCTACATTTTTCTCTGATCTACCCCCTGCCTATCCCCTCCCCTTTCATGTCATTTTAAACCTTTCAACTTACGGTTCTCCATTGCAAGTACTGTAATGTTATGAACAGCATTTGTCTCTCGATCCAATAATTTTGCAGTAGTGATAACTCCACTGTTGGCATCAATATTGAAATATCTCTCCAAGTCTGTGTTTCTGTCAATTGAATATCTAGTTGAAAATTTAAAGAAAATGTTTCACATTCATGTTTGGTTAGAATATTCTTATTTTTCATTGATTTCTTAAATGATAAATAGATCCTGCTAGCTAATACCAATATGCTATGCTAAAAGCTCCTACTATGTAGCAGCATTCCCACAGCTTGTGTTGTAATTTATTTCCTTATGTCAAATGTTTTGAAATGAGCACCATAGAATGCATTGCTTCAGTATGGCTTGAACATTCCATTGCATCTATCATACTTTCTTACTATAATTTACAATTTATACTAAACCCAAACATATATATATATATATATATATATATATGTGTGTGTGTGTGTGTGTGTGTGTGTGTGTGTGTCACTGAAATATCCTTTTGATATTATGAACCTATAGCCTTTTTGTTTGACAGTATCAATATTAACATTTGCTTTTTACTTTTTAACTGGAATCATCGTTCAGAAGCCTTAGCTGGCTTTCCAAAGACATAAGACGAAGTTGAACACCTAAAATTGAATGTTATTTTAAGCTGTAAATTACAACCTCAGAATATGAAGAACTGTATCAAGGTAAATATTATACATTTTTAGCAATATCTACAATATAATCATTGTTGAAAAATTATCCCATGTTTATATGCCAATGCTATATTAATATTACATAAATAAATCACCATCCTACAATAAATTACCATTTTTAAATTCCTCTGTAGTCTTCGTAGTTGAGGTTGACAGTGGTTCTTACTTTAAAATAGGTAATTCAGTACAAACACACAAAGCAAACAACAAATAAAATCTTAATAAGTGCATCACTTCAGGAAGGACCAGGGATGATTAACTTAACTACATACATGACAAACCTTCAAAGATATTGGCTTCTAATTTTATTTACCAACTTGAATTATATAAACTGTCTGTTTCAATTTTGTAATTAATTCTTATAAATATTCCTTAACTCTTCAGTTCTCATATGTAGCACTAGTGAAAACTCTATTTAATCGTGTTCTTCTGTCCTCTATCTTCCAACCCTGTAATTTTCATTCACAATGAACACAATATATTAATGCTGTCAGTGTATTTCAAAATTTGTTATCCTTTATTATCTCAGTACTTTCTCACCAATAATGTATCATAGCCATTCACACTCATGAACAAAGTCTACTTTGTAGACCTCTATTGTATTTTATATTTCTGAATTAGGAATTTGGGAGGACATTCATGGTGCTTTTTCACCTCTTAACTTGCCATTGGATTGTAGAACAAAATCAGCGGAAGGTAGAATCACTTGATTTGAAATGTTTTGAGATCTATTTCCGAAGTGACTTTTTCCCAAAGGCTTATTATTGTATGAGTGGCATAGCTAACGTATTGGTGCTTTACATGATTTCTCTTCATTCGTGTTCTCTTGGGAGGAGCGGCCAGTTTCCAGGGCAACTTTAAATAAGTCCTGGCAGCTGTAATTGTTAAAGAAAAGACTCCAGTTTTTAAGTATATATATTGTTATTAAAAGGCAGAGTTGATAATACTGTAGAAGGGGTTCAAATCAACTACAACGGTAGTGTTTTCAATCAGATTCAGTTGTGAAGTCTGAAATGGAAAAGACACTAGGAGATAAAGGACACTGGAACAACCACTGAGTCCTCAGCTGTGGAAACGGGGTATTGGAATCACAGAGTACATGTATCACAGGGGGTGAAACTACAAGTTAGATCTGCTTAAAACTATTATAACTCCATGAATGCCATCAGTCCCAGATACAAGAAATGGAACTTTTTGGAATTAGTGTTGATGTTTCTGAGATTTTCAGGAGACGTATAATTGTAGGAGAGAATATTTACCGTGAATGTGGATAACACAGTACTGTAGGTTTTATTCAGACTAAAATGAGAAAGACATTGGAATACCAACAATCTTCCCTGACTCCTGACTTTTAAAAAATATTTTTCAAATATTTAATATACACCATGTTATTGAACAGAAAAAATAATGGTAAACTACCAAAATTTGGAAGATACTAAGGATAATGGTCATTATTAAAAGTATCTACTCTTTGCTTTCTAAACTTCCACATTTTTTCACCCTAAATTTACAGCTTCATTCTGTGTGAAAGTTTTGCTGCATTTTTCAGAACAGAATAATGTGTGTATATGTATTATATTCTTCATGTATAAACATATAGACATATTGAAATACACAAGTATGTAGAGATATACTATAAATAATATACACTTTTATGAATAGCTTATCCACCAGCAACAGGATAATCGATATCAATTATGTTAAGATGATTGTAACAAAAATTATACAAGCAAGTAAAGCCAATATTATAAACTTTTCTTATTCATTTTTTTATTCCTAAAGCTTAATCAAAAGATAACGACAGCACATTTTTAAAATTTTACTTTCTTATCAGTCTGTGATGTTTTTGATTGTACATGTGTATAAATGTATGGGTGAGAGAAATTGACACAGGGTGCCTTATTCAATCACTTTTCACTTTATTTTTTGAGACAGACCTCTAGCCTAACATGGGACTCATGAGTTCCTCTCATCTAGCTAAACAGTTGTTCAGGGATCCATAGTCTCTTTTTGCAAGCACTAGGATTAAAGGTGAGCATTTGTGACCACTCAACTTTTTCTGTTTTCATGTGGATTCATTAGAATCTGAATTGAAGTCTTTCAGCTTTCATTGCAAGCACTTTATTCACTGATATATTTCTCCAATCCTATAAAGATCCTTTGGATAAAATAGATTTATAAATATTTTGAAAAATTACATTCAACATTGTGATGGATTTCATAAGGACATTTTCATTCAAATATATCATGAATTTTAGCTTCCAAATTAATAAGGACAGAGATGGACAGAGAGTGCACTTTAATATTCAATTAATTACTTATTGGGTTAAGGTTAATGACTAAATATTTGCCTTCGTACTTAATAAATCAATGATTCCAGAGTTAGATTTAAGGGTCTTTATGTTGATGGTTAATTTATTGTGGTGCTTTCATCAGTACTCATTTCAAGAACTGAAAAAAATTTGAGGATCTTGAAATACGTTAACAGGAAAACACACTTACAATCATTCAAAATGTAATTCTTCAATTATAAACTCCACTGATTCAAATTAACGTGTATGTATCTGAACACTTGTAATCTTTCCATTCATCTGTACTGTTGATATTTATGTGTACAAGTTTTTGGATAATGTATATAACTGTTTATAACCACATTTGTTCATGTTATTAAACCATGCATTAATTAATTATTTTATCACATTCAACTGACACTCCTTTTCTGGAAACCACAAATAAAGAAGTAATAGCACAAATTATAAATGCAGAAATATAACAGGTTTAATTGGTAGTATTAAACAGAGAATGTTAAGCTGCAGAGAAAGAAATATGCATTATTTCAATAAGAGTAGAAAGACTGGAAATGCATATTAGTAGACAGAAATATTATCCAGGGATGTTTGTTCTCATTATGTTCCTTGATGACAGGCTTGGAACAACCAAATATTAAAACATTAAGTGTTACCCATTATCTTCTCATTAGATAGAAGTTGTTATGAACATGTCAACAAATTGAAGGTGAAATATAAATAAAATCACCAATTAATTTGTAAACAAAAGTTGAAATATAACCCTAATGTAAAAGAATCAAAGAAAATGAGATTTTTTTTAATTTTTCTTTTTCTTCTTGTTTAGAAGTGGAAGTGTTATTTTTATCCACCTTAGAATATAGAAAAGCAGACTGAACCAAAAGAAAAGCCGGAGTCTCAGATAAGCTTAGAGGGGCCTTGTGTCTGCAACTGTGTAGTTAACTATTATCAACCTGGCACAAGCTAAAGTCATCTGTGAATTGGTAATGTCAATGGTGGAACTGTCTTCAACATGCCAGCCTTTGGACACGACTGTGGGGCATTTTATTAAGTGTAACATAAGGGCCCGTCATAGGAGGTATCATCCCTAAGCTGGTTCCGTCTGGTTCTGTGCTATTTTAAAAAAGTCGATGAGCAAGAAAGAAGAATCACTATAGGAAATAAGCAGTGTTCTTTGTCTGCTTTAGTTTTGCCTATGAGTTCTCACCCTGAATTCCTGTTCTAGCTTTCTTCAATGATGGATTTATAATTCAAATAAACACATTCCTTTCCAAAAATGAATTTGTCAAATACTTTATCATAGCAACAGAGAATCAACCTTAGTATCTCAGCACTGCTTGGTAAACTTAAAAAAAGAATGGGAAGTGAGAGGAGAGTTACTTTATTGGTCAGGTGCAACCTTTCAGTGTAATTTTTTGATGTTGCTAGTATGAGGACTAAAAATGACTGTTCTAGTTTCCCCTAAATAGTAGCCTGAATACTAGGCTCCCATCAGTATATGCTGGAGTGGCTGGCTTCAGAGATCACTCACATGCTAATAAAAGGCCTGGTTACACTGCTTCCAGTGGTTATGCTTGATGACTGGTTTTAGGAATGACATATGTGTTATATTAGCAATGACAATTAATCTACCTTGTCCTTTTAGAGATATGCACCTATAAATATATCTGAATATCTATTATCAAACTCATTTCAGAGACTTTGTAGAGGGTTGTATAAAGCGTCTATTATTCATGGATAATATATTCCAAAAAGGATCCATCGGCCATTCTACTGCAAAAAAAGAAAAACAATGCCAAAACCAAAACTATTCTTTGTATGTTACTATTCTTATTTTCAGATTGCATTGAATATTAAAACATAGGCTACCATTTCTCCTGAGTGCTCAACAATACCTAATATTAGGTGTAGGGAAGACTTCTATTTGGGTATCGAAATCCTGTTTACCTAAATTATTCTTAATTTCACTTTGCTTTCATTAGAAAATCATGTGTCCACAAAATGTACAATTGCTAACTTTCTTTGGAATTATTTAGATGTTGGAGTGTTTTATGAGGCTACTAGTTCATTTCCTGAATTCCCAGCAGCTCAGAACCAAAATAACCAAACAAAAACTATATTAATTA